TTTTATAAATTTTATATTTAATATTTGTTTAGGCTGTTTATTGTAATTTTTAAATTTAATAAAAAAAATATTTTTGTTTAATTTCTTTGTTTTTATAGCACAAGCATTTCTTCCTAAATGTTTTTTTGCAATGCAATTAGACGATCAAATTTGTTATTTATTTATAAATTGAATAAATTAGTTTTACTTACATTTATTTAACTTTAAAAATCTTAACCACCTCCAAGCGGCCTCGAACCTGCAATTTCAGAACCAGAACCAGTAGTCTTCACGTGACGCCACAGCCAACATTTGTAAGAAAATCAATTATAATTGCGTTTTATTTTTGGCTTTGGCAATTCAAAGGCAGATGTCGCTGATCGCCTAAGTTATTCGAAATTGTCGAACTGGTAGGCACATACCACTTAATGAACTAGTATATTTTCTAACTGGTTTGGCTTTTCACTGCAGGGTTACCAGCATGCTGCTACAATATTAATTTCTTTACAAATGAGGTCGAGGAAAGATCGAAATGTTTAGAGCCGAAATTTTATAATTTTTCTACCATTTTGTTAAACATTGTTTTTTTTTTTTAATTCACAACAGCAATATCGGGAACTTAATCCTCCACACACACGGCTTTGACTCATATAGTGCAAAAAATTTCCGCCAAAATACTTTTTACTTAGAAAATTTAGCTAATTTCACCACTCATGACACCAGCAAGCTGGTACAATCATAAAATTTTCAAATGGTTTTTGAAGGCGCGCCAGCAGCTTGTACAATCACACCACAAGAACATACACGGCCAATCGACTTGTTGGGCCATTTAACAAATTAAGATTATTAAGGGCCGTAAACTTATCTATTCTAAACTATAGTTAAATCGTTAATAGATAAGTTAACAGCCCTTACACTTTTACAGTATGTATATATGAAAACGTAAGGTACTTACAATACATCTATATATATAAATGTGAATGTCTGTTTGTTTATTACCTTATAACTTTTGAATCGCGAGACGGAATCGCACGAAACTTTTCACACTTATTTGTTTTTATCCCGGGAAGGTTATAGGCATAGAGAAAAATCGGCAGTACTGGAAAAGGGGGCGTGGCACCTCCCATACTAACTAAAATTTTCATTGAAAAAAATGGGCGGAATTGGAAAAGGGGCGTGGCACTTCCTGTAGGCGTGAAATATTTATTCAGCTATAACTTCGGAACCGTAAGCCAAATGAACTTGAAATCTGGTATGCAGACATATCAATGGTAGGTGCTTTTAGTAAGGTATATATATAAATGAGTCTGTAAAAGGGGCCGTGGCACATCCCAAAGGCGTGGAATTTTTAATCAGCTATGGAACCATGAGTCACATAAACGTGAAATGTGGTATGCAGACATATCTATGGTACATAGGGCTCTGGTGTGAGCAAGCTTTGGTCAACCGTGAGGTCGTTGTCCAACCCGACGAAGCGCGACGACAGAGTCTAGATAGACTTTGGTGACCACGCTTCGTCGGACCCGGAGAGATGCGCGAGCTATTTTAGCCGGCAGTTCATTCTGCATCCTCCGGTGGATAAAGCCAAACGTCGAGTGACCAGAAGGCTGCGCAAAATGCCAAAACCTAGTGCGCCTCTTGTTTCCACCAGGGGTGAGGTAAGGGTATCCATCGGCAAGGCGAAAGCCTCCAAAGCCATTGGACCCGACGGTATATGCATGTTGATGCTGAAAAATTTGGGTCCTGCGGGAGTAGTGTACCTAACGGAGGTCCTCAACCTGTCTATGGCCACTCTCGTCATTACAGACATCTGGAAAATGGGGAGAGTGGTCCCACTGCTCAAACCGCGGAAACCAGCCAACAAAGGAGAGTCTTATCGCCCGATAACTCTCCTTTCCCCGGTAGCGAAGACACTCGAGGCCCTGCTGCTCCCGTACTTCACGAACCACCTGACCCCAGCGAAGCATCAACATGGGTTCCGTAAAGTGCATAGTACAACAACAGCACTTAACGCCATAAACACTCAGATAACTCGTGACCAAAACCGAAACCGCCCCTGTGAGAGAACTATTCTAGTAGCGGTGGACCTGTCCAAGGCGTTCGACACTGTCAGTCATTTAACGCTACTAGACGATATAGAGGCCTCCTCACTCCCACAGGGTCTCAAACGGTGGTCGGCGAATTACCTGAGTGGTCGACACTCGTCAGTAATCTTCAGAGACAAAACCAGCAAGCCACGTAAAATTAAACAGGGGGTACCACAGGGTGGTGTCCTGTCCCCGCTACTGTTTAATTATTACATATCAAAGCTTCCTCAGCCACCAGAGGGTGTTAATATAGTCTCATATGCTGACGATTGTTCGATCATGGCGTCTGGGAATAGAATTGATGACTTGTGCTCAAAATTAAACGGTTACCTCTTCGAACTTTCTCGCTTCTTCACTGCAAGGAGCCTAGCCCTATCCCCTGCGAAATCCTAGGCAACCCTTTTCACCACCTGGACGAAGGAGGTCAGACTGCCACTGGGTATTCACGTCGATGACGTAACAATACCGACGGTGAATAACCCGAAAATCCTCGGAGTTACCTTCGACAGTCTGCTCTCCTTCTCGGCGCATACAACCGCAATTGTCAACAAAGTACAGAGCCGCAACAATGTCCTCAAGTCGCTGGCCGGCAGCACTTGGGGCAAAGATAAAGAGACGTTGTTGGCAACATACAAGGCAATTGGCCGGCCGGTTCTGAACTACGCAGCGCCCGTATGGTCGCCAGGAGGCATCTTTACGAACTGACAGACGAAGTCCAGAGGTATATTAAACAACCTCTGGACCCGACAACCTACCGACAGGCCCTCAACGGCATTCAGAGGGAATCAGTCTCAAGTTATGTAGACTCCCGCCCTGTGAATGCCGTTCTAGGCACACAACCATCGGACGTGGACGGGACAGAACTTTGTCTGCCTCGGGAGACCCGCACAACAATAGCCCAACTTCGCTCTGGCTATTGCAGCAGGCTCAACAGCTACCTGAGTAGAGTCAACGAGGATGTGCCCAACCAATGCCCGGCATGTGGAGAATCGCCACATGACTCCCGGCACCTCTTCACATGCCCTGAGAATCCCACTCAGCTAACGCCCCTGTCCCTATGGATAGCCCCTATGGAAGTAGCACACTTCCTGGGCCTCCCCCTAGCTGAAATAGACGACAACGATGATGGATGAACCGTCCCAAACGGGGCTTAGTAGCCGCTACAACAACAACAACATGGTACATAGGTGCTTATAGTAAGGTATACATAAATGAGTTTTCAAAAGGGGGTGTTGCACATTTCATAGGCGTGGAATGTTTAATAAGCCATAACTTCGGAACGATAGGTCACATGAACTGGAAATTTGGTATGCAGACATACCTATGTAAGTGCTTATAGTAAGGTATGTTTATATAAATGAGTTTGTAAAAGGGGGCGTAGCGCATAACACCGACGTTGAATTTTGTATCAGCCATAACTTCGGAACCACAATTTACATGGCCCTTTTAATTCTTTCTGATATGCCTTTCGAATTTACAGGACTCAGTTTCCAGTTCGCTTAGCTTTTGCAATGACAATAATCAAGAATTCCTTAAAGCAAAACCCGAAACTTTATCGAAAATAAAATCTATGGTAATTGCATTTGAAAATGGATTTATGTTAATAGAGGCTTCGAAGTATTAAAAACATGCTGTGAAATAATATTAGTTCTTATTCCAAAGAAATTAGACAGCTAAAATTTTAATATTACAACATTGGTATTTCTACTAATAGTTACATACATATCGTCGTTTAAAGTGCAAAACCGCGTAACTAAAAACTGGATTTGCTCACACAAGCTCTTGGTTCAAGTCTAATCCATTCGTCCTAAAATATACTTGATCCGATTGCTTTATAAAAAAGAGAACAAGTTTGAAATAGGAGTGTTTTTACTATCTAGAAAATAATTTATGCAACCTCACATACGCGGTTTTACATTATCTTGATACGCGGTTTTGCATTTTGTTGATACGCGGGTTTGTACTTTAAACGACGATATATCATTTGTTGGAGATATTTTAATGTAAATAAAAACACCTGTTGTGCCAAAAAGTTATTATTACATTTCATTACATAACACCCACGCTATACAACTGGCCTTCAGTATTTTCCTATAGTAAAATTAGAGCAGAAATTAAATACAACATCTTTCATAAATAATTTTTCATGTTTGTATAAAGACGTGGGGTGAAACCCGCAGGTAAAAGCTAGTATATGTATATATATATCAGTCTTTCTTAGTTTAAAAATTCATCTCTTACATAAATGAAAAAAAAATAGATCAAATTGAGTATATACAACTTTTTCATGCCAAGTATGAATAAATTCTCCAAAGGGCTACAAAAAGGGCTAGGGGCAATTTTGAATTTATGTGGCCAAAAAACGTATGTGGTAGCTAAATCTAGCAACCAAAGGGCTAAAAACGGCAACACTGATCATAACGCGTGTCAGTTGGCGGTTGGTAGTACTTCAATCTTTTAGGAGCTTGCTGGTCATCTTCGCTAAAGGTGTTTGCGGAACGACCCCGTCGGTTTTCGTTGAAATGTTGAAGAAATTGTTGCAAGAGTATTAGCCAATCCTTTTCTAAAGGCAAGTAGGTCCATTTGGTCTTTCTTAGGTATATCATTTCTATCTGCATCCGCTTTATACTCGAACCAACTCGCCACTATTGCCATGTCAAAGAAATGCATAATAACTCGTAGGGTCCACTTTTTAGATTTTAAGAAAATACGGTAATACTGCAACATTTGATCAAGAAGATCTACGCCACCCATTCCATTATTATACAGCTGCACAACTTCAGGTCTATCAACTCAATATACCGCTTTTCTTATTTCTCGTATCGTTTTACTTTGTCTTTGATGCCAATTCCCACAAAGTTGGATGCTAAGTAAACTCCTTTGTTGTCGAACCATTTTGTGACAATAACTTTTCCATCTCGGCTTACCACTTGTTCAGCACAGCCGCGAGCTTTCTTTCGCATTACAGCATCTGTGGAGAGAGGTGGGTTCCGAAAGCGATTTATACGAATTGTGCCAGCTGCTAGAATTTTCCTTTTTATCCAAAATAGAAGAATACGTGGTGAAGAAATTATCTGTGTAAACTTGGTGACCAGTTGAATCTTGGGGCACTCTTTTTCGCAGCTGTAATGTGATGGAAGCACCAAAACCAAGTTTGTTGATAAGGCTTGGTTCAATTTCAGTGGATGAGCCCTGATAAGCAATGAAATCATACGGCATTCCACTTTTTCCACAAAGCACATAGAGTTTTATTCCCCATGGACAAGGTTTACCACGTATATACTGCTTCATTCCCAGGCGCCCTGTAAATGGTATAATCTGTTCGTCAACGCAAAGGGTTTCCCCCAACTGGTTCTCCAATAATCGTCTCCGAATCGCATCCATAATTGGTCTCACTCGATGAAATTTGTCATTGTTTTTTGGGGGCAGACAAGTATCCACTAAATGCAAATGTGTTCGTAGCACATAAAAACGATTTCGTGTCATATTACTAGTGAAAATTGGCAATGCTGTACCTTTCTCCCAGAACATTGCTACCCGCGGAATCTTCAATATACCCATCATACAATGTAAAGCGAATAGCCGAATTTCTCTTGGACTAGTTTGCTGAAAATTTGATTCTTTCTGCACACTATACAGATTAGTGAAATTGGAAACATCTTCAAAAAATTGGGGCGGTAGATATTTTTGAAAATATTCGTATTCACTTTTGACTGCTGTAGGCAATTGTACAGGCGGAAAAAACAAAAAATCAGCAATTCGTTCATTACTGCGGGAATGGCGCCACTGAACATCGATTTTCTCAGTAATATTTGCCAAATCATCGTTTCCTTCTGCTGCTTCTATTGGTGTACTTACTCTCTCACCTGCTATTGAACGCCATACTCTGACGGAGAAATATGAATTTTGTGCAACATTTTCTTCGCTCTTTGTTGAGGACGGTGTTGAAAAAGTCGTAACGTGTTCACGAACAGCTGGTGGAAGTTCATTTATTGGACTCAAATCACGTTCCTCCACATTTTCCTCAGTGCTGGTGTCGTAATTTTGAGCCTCATCTTCAATTCGCTTCTTACTAGTAAATTCCACTGAATCGATTTCATCACCTACCGATTCATCGTCGAGATCTGAAAACTCTTTCAGAAGGTCTAACATTTGGTTTTCAGTCAACGCTTTGCGTCTATGCATGATTCCCTATGCGTGGAAAGCCATGTTATTTACTCATAATTTACAACTCTTTACTACTCATGTCCATTACAAAGGACATCTGGCTTTTGGTGTCTAAAACACTTACCTGAAATTCGATCTACTTCTGTTTGCACTCGTTCAATGAGCAAAAATTAAGCGAAAAAGCACCGTTTACACAATTATTTACAAACACTTATTTAGGATATAAAATTTTCGAATAAACAAGCCAAATAATATTTTACAACCTTCCTCTTCAAAAGCCGGTACATTACTGGCAAAAATAAAACACATTTTGCAGAAATTGTACTTTTACGTCTTTTTCAAATGAATGTACAAAAAATTGTTCTTATTAAACTTTTATTGTATACAAAGGTACATATGTACGTAAGGTATATTAAAATGTCATTTCGACAGAGCACATTTAGAATTCATTGCAAACTGGTTTGAGATCGTTAATATAGAAATGATTTTATACATACACTTGTGATCAGCTGATTCAAGTCATCACCATTTTGATCGATTTTGGCTGTTTCTCTTTTGTTTATTTAATGTTTATTATTTTTCCATAAAAGCCAATCTCATTATATAAAAAAAAAAACAAAATATAAATCCACATTTCAAACTTTGTGCAAAAATTATAAAAAATCTGCAAAGTTTCAACTTTTTATTCAGATTAAAAAATTTTTTTCTTCAGGGCAATAATGTGCAAGTTTAAAGGAGCTACATAAACGCGTTGATTTTTAATAATTTTTTTTTCTTGTAGACATTTGGTTAGGGGGTCGGTTGTCGAAAATGCTATATTACGTTTTGCTTAGACTCCTTCTAATATTTCAGCCTTTTTTGGGTTCAGTACATTTTCCATAAAGTCTTAAAAAAGTCGCATACTTTTTTCTGACTTTTTATGCTGCTACAGCTTTTCTGATGCTTTCGCGAGCGTGCGTGTTGCAAGACATCAGCTCTTCCTGATTTGGCTTTTAATGTGCAATTGCAAACATTATAATAAGCCTCGTAACCTCAAGTGTTTACACAACCAGCCTTTGAACACGGGATCCTTAGTCCAAGAATAAAAAAAATGCGCGTACGCTTGGTATGTTTCATATTTAAGTCATCTGTGTCCAAAGAATAAATATCTTTTGAAGCAGCTGCTGCAAAACACAAAGCTTGGAAAGATTTATTAAGAAGATAATTCAAAATCAGTTCTACTTACAGGGTTTAGTAACAGAGAAAAATTACTGGGAAGTTAAAAAACGTAATTTTTTACACAAAAAACGTTCAAACGTCAAAGGGTACAAAAAACGTCGAAATGACGTTAAAAACGTCAACCTGGCAACACTGCTTCTATACTCGCAATATACCGTTCGTTCCGTTTTCACCAAAATTAATGCTAAAAAGCTTCAAATTTAAAATAACCGCTCTTGCAAAGTCATGTCCACTGCAGTGGACATTAGTAGTGAAAGGGATAATATTCCTTTTTAGTTTGAAAAAAAGCGTTTAGAAAACATTAGTTTAAAAATGTTTAGAAAAAGGTAACTAAAACATTTTAGACAAAGAAATATTTAAAATACAGGACAACATTTTGACGTACGACAAATAACTTTGCCTATAAAAAGGTCGTTTCGCGATACTTAACAACTTTTTTGAGTAAAAGTACATGGAGTAAGTATGCTTACTTTTCCCCTAATACAGGACAATCTACAACTCAATGTGAAATGTTTCTTTTAAACGTATCACGTTATAAAGGTTATAAGATAAACTCTTCTTAAGACTACCCTCCGTAATCCAACCCTAGCCCTAATATCTTTCAAGGATAGTTGCGATATTTTATCACTCATAAATCGTTTTTTAAATATGTATATGTACATGCCCTCATCTGACAACACACATTCACTATCTAACCTTATGTTCTTCTTTTTTCTTTTCTTTAACAGATCATCATAATTTAAACTAAATGCAATAGACCATCTAAAGTTTCAACAAAATTTTGCGTAACCAGACAATAGAATTCCAGAACATTCCAACCACTCTTAAGTTTGTAACCCAATAGAATGGACGAATAATTTTAGTTCGAAGCAAAAGCGAAATTTACAAAACAAAAAAAAGCAATTACAAAATAATATATTTTGAAAGCGGAAAACGACAAGCGACGAACCAACAGCAAAAGTGTGAAAAGTTAAAAGAAACCGTGCAAAATTTGGCCTTAAAGCAACTAAATTAAAGTTTAAACTAAAATTAAACGTATATTTAAATTAACAAAAAAAGTAACGAAAATCTTAGCCTAAAGAATAAAAAATTCCAAAATCGAAAATTAATATATTTTAAGAGATATCGCATACCGCGCAAAGCTCTAAATTCAAACGGAACGGCTAAGCGTGGCAACGTAAGTTCAAATTTCGTAGCAATTTGAAAAAGAACAAAACGAAACAGATAATTATAAAAATTTTGGAAACAAAAAGTACAAAAGTAATTTTTTAACAACGTCACAAGGCGCGCGTAGAGAAACAAATTAAACATTTAGAATCTTGGAGTTATGTATATATAGGGGTACAAAAGTCTAAATAAAAACTAAAGCGCAAACAGGAGCAGCAACCAGTGTGAAAAGAGTTTTCTTTACATTCAATTAAAAACATATTTTGATGTCTGAAGATAAGTAAATATTAATGAAATTCCAGTGTAAATTTTATGTAACTTTTGAATTGGTCAAGACAACTGTGGACGAAACTTAAATTATTTTTGAATAAGAGTTTGTTTGTCTCCGAACAGGCAGCAGAAGAGTTAAAAAGCACTTTGCAGAACTTCAATATGATTACCACAACTGTTTTGAAAACTACTAATTATAACAGGACGAATCGAATTGCAGCGATTTCAAGTGTGACGATCTGTGTGAATCCCTTTTTTTAAGCTTTTCTTCAATAATAACGGTTTATTATTGCCAGTAAAAAAGTAATCCTGTTAACAACAAGGCAAAAAAGCCAGAGATGAACACGAAAAAGGCGTGCCTACTTCAGCATAGACACTAGCTGATTTTCCCGATGCATTGTAGCAGCTATGGGAAATACAAAAAAAGAAGAAAAAGAGCTGAAGATTTAGATTTTTATCAACTTATATTGCTCACCCATGAGCTCAACTGCTATCGCGGTTGGAGCGTACAATGTAACAATAACTAACTAGAACAGTAACAGTTAACGAAAGAGAAAGCATGAAAAAAGTTAAAAAAGTGAGACAAAAGATATATCGAGCATATTAAACAGCGTGGGGCAGGCTGGGAAGCTATAGAGGCGCAGGCAAGAACTGAAGAATTTAAAATTATATAATCAGCAACAAAAAAGGGTAAGTACATATGTATGTATGCTTATTAAATAGCTATGGACAGATAAATGGCCCGACTAAAGTTAAATAATATATTTACATCATTTTATATCTAAAAGAATGTATTATTTAGAAAAAAAAACTCCAACGAACTGAAAATTAAAGCTTCAGATGAGTAGATACAGTGGCGTAGCCAGGGGGGGGCGGCGATTTGGGGGGATAGATCCCCCTTCATCATTGAAATTAAACTTTTTATTTTTGAATTAATAACACAATACTATTTTACCCTTCCGATTTATAATTTTTTTATTTCAGACTGATTACAAATTATCTTTTAATGAATATATAAAATTATCGGTTGGTGGATTATGTATTTGAATATTTGCGAAATACACTAGGCCATTTTGCTTAGTTCCCCACAGTATTGGGAAATAATCTATAATCTATACAAAAACTGTACTTTTCGACTGTAAATTGTATCGACTTTTTAATTTGCTCATATGCATGCATGCATACATAGATTCCCTACAAGACCAATGCTATGATGGTATTCACGGGAAAGTTTATGTAGGTACATTTACATATTTTACACTTTTAACATAAATGTCAAGGCAGATATTTTAAGATCCACTTCTTAACAAACAAATTTTTTTAAGCTATTATGAATGGATAAAAGAGACATCTTCATTGAATTCAGTACTAAAATTTGACATTTCAAGTGCTTTTCAAAACTTTATACATGTTAACTAGATTGGCCATTTATCTTAAAGTTATATAATTTTAATTATTTGTTTATAAAAATGCAGTTTACACTCTAACAAAACCCGTATAAATCCAAGGTTTAATCTTTGCGCAACATAAACAAAATCAACAAACTTTAGTAAAGCTTTCTAATTAGATTTCCTATAAATACATATTTTGAGTATGCAGTTTTGTAGCCCGATCAATTCAAATAAAGCGCAAGTTTAAAATACATAGCTGCGACTTGTCGTTGATTTTTAATATATTTTTTTTTTGATGAAGGCGTTGCTCATTTTCTTCATTAAAAAAATCGTCGAACATACTTAGATAAAAGGAAGAAAATTACCGACATCGTCAAAAATATGCCATACATCAATTGTAAATCACAGCTACTTTAAATTTGCACTTTATTAGACTAAAATTGAATGAGCTAAAAAACTGCAAAATATTAAGAGATAAAATTGGAATAAAAAGTTCGAAATTTTTACGAAAGTTTGTCGTTTTTTTTTAATGTTGTTCAAAGATTGAACTTATTTTCATTTAGTGGTTGTTAAGGAATAAACTATATTTTTATAAACAAATAATTCAAATTAAAATATAATAAAATAAATAGAAAAAAAGAGAATACAAAAATTTCCCGCAGTGAATTTTCAGATTTTTAAAACGGTATAGTAATTTAAATTTTTAAATTTAAATAAAGCATGAATACCCCATAAAATAAACGAGTAGATAAAAAATATACAACGGTAAAACTGGCACATACATAAATATATGAAAGAATGCACTCAGGCGACGCCTCTAGCAATTGTGTGTCACAAATTTAAGTTATCGATGGACATTTTTTTTGAAATTGTAGTTTTAAGATTTGACTGTGCACTAGATTATTTTTGCAACCCAACAATTTAATTAAGATTGCATAAGAAAAAGGTTTTGAGTTGCATTTACAATTTTAA